ATTAGTTTACAATGTTTACCTAACCACATTTTCTCTACACTCACAAGTCATATCCATATCTTCTACTATATTATTTTGATTGTAACACTTCATAAAATTCCTAATTGGGTACCCAAAGACTCTTTAAAGAGAAGTAAGTATTAAACACTTGATTTTTCATCTTAATGATATGAATTTTTATATATTTTAATTTATTACTTCAAGTTTGATTTGGTTGATATTTGAATGAATTACATGTGATTTTTATGGAAGTTACATGATTTTTATTGTTTGTGTAAAAAAGGATTGAAATGCATGAATTTAGAAAATGAGTTTTTTAACTTGTACACTTAGAATATAAATTAAAAATATATTAATTGTACTTTTTATAATAAATTTTTATAAAAATTAGAAAAATAAATATTATTTTAATACTATTACCATGCGAAATATTTTAATTAGATAATTAATAAATTTAAAATCAATTTTTATTTTTTATTCAAATTAATTGTTAAAAATATGTAGTTAATACATTTTTAACATATGCCCTAAGAGCAAGAGTTGAAAATTCTTAGAAAATTTGAGACTCAAGTGCAACTCTTTCAAAAGTTTACAAATAAAATTGCAATGAGAAAAGTTCAAATTAAGACCAAATTGAAGTTTGAAGATCAAAGTGTATTGGAACTAAAACTTTAGGGACCATATTTCACCATAAATTTTGGAGGATTTTAACAGGAGCATGAACGGAGTTGTTGACGGGAGGATGATCATTGCCCAAAGTTGAGGGATTTTTATTAATTCTTTTTAAAGTAGAAGGATGACAATGATTCTTTTACAAAATTAAAAGTTTTTTAATTACATGAAAAAATAAAAATCAGGTTGGTTTGGTTTTTTTTTTTTATTAATCTTTTGATATTCAATAATTACATTAAATTCTAATTTATCTAAAATCAAATTATGTTGAACTCAATTAAAAATTTTTTTTTTTCAATACTTATTCTTTCACCGACAAAACTCAAATTCAAAAACTTATTCACGTAAAACCGAGTTAGGTGATGGGTAGGTTGGTTTGGGCCGTTTGGCCTTTGGCTATCAGAAAAAGAATGTTGGCTTAAATCTCGGGGAAGGCACGAGTGGGTTCCACTTGTGGGATCTAAAAGCAACACCTACGTCACTGAGATGAGTGTATCCACGCGCGCTCTAAAGTGGCAGGCCAGGCAGGCACCGATCAGACCGTCACTTATTCCAAAAAACTCGATGGGCGGCCACTGGGCCCGCCAAAGTCGGTGATCGTGCACAATTGTGGACCCCAACTTAACGACAAACGCCGTTCGAACATTTAACTGTACAAACCGCCTTATTTGTAGGGGTAGGTACGATTCGATTTTGATTATCATCAAAATCAAAATTATTAATTATTAGAGTAATTAAAATTTTGGGTATCAAAGTTTAATAGATTTGTCTAATATGTATTTTAAGAATATAATTTAAGAGTGTAATAGTTATATTTATTTTATATTAATTATTTTTTAAAAATATAAAAATTTATGATTAATTTTATCATTAATATCATATAAACCATTTTAATTATACATTTACTTAAATAAATATTAATTTTTATTTTTTTAATAATAATTAATGATTAACCTACATCTTAAGAGTATAGATTAGATAAATCTAAATTTAATCACTATTAATTAAATTAAAAAAAATAATTTTATCAACTTTGATTATATTTAAAAAAATCATTTAAATTGATTTTAGTTTTACTTAAAAAATGAGTAATACTAGAGAAAAGGAAAATTTAAAAGGAAAATTTAAAATGAAAATTTAAGAGCTAATATATAACATATTATTAAATTAGTTGATATATATAATATTATAAATTAAAAAAATAAAAAAATAAATTATTAAATAATATAATATTTATTTTTAAATATTTAAATAACTTACATTATTATCTCAAATTATAGTCCCATTTATTATTATTTTTAAAAATTATTTTTAAATTTTTAATATTGTTAAAAAATTTTTTATTATCATTTTATTAAATTTAATTATTAAAAAAATTAAAAATTACTTAAATAAATAAATAATTTAATAAAAAGTGACAAAAAACTTTAAAAAAATTTAAAAACTATTAAAAAATTTACATAAAAAATTTTAAGCCAAAATTTGTAATTATATTCACCCTAATTATTAATTTTTTTAATTTTTAAACATATCAATTAAAATTTAAATAATTTAAAATTTAATTAATTTAATTTTTAATAAAAAAGCTACAAACTAATTTCAGTCGGTTAAAAAAATTTCCGCCCACCCCTACATTGTCGTTGTCCTCAGCAACCTATCAGATTCCTCCGAGTCTTACAATTCCGTCAACGGTCATCCGGAAGTCTAGTTTTCAGAAACACTCATTGATGGACAAGATTCATGCGCGGTCCTGGCCCCCACAAATCTCTCTCCACGTGGCAGGATATGGTTTGCTACTGAACAAAACTGGAGAAAATATTACCGTATACTATTTGACTAGTACTATTATTTTTTTAGTAAAAAAATTTTCAATTAAAATTTAAAAAGGGAAAAAGGGAGCATTTTGATCCACTTTCCGCTCTTTCTTCCTTTACAGCCAAAGAAAAACAAAGGAGCTTCAATGTTCGTTTGAGATCGATCCATTTTTTTCTTCTCCTCTCCACTTTCACCTTCAACGAAGATCGATTCAATGGGTACGTTCTTGAATTCCATGATTTTTAACCTGATTCTTTTTGCCTTGATTCTGTAACTAAATCTCCGTTTTCTGTTGTGTTTGCATCCAAAACATGTTTAACGGGAACGAAGAATTAATGCATGCAAAAATTCAAAATATGCGTTCAAGCTTTTAATTGCAGTGGAATTTGGTTTGTTTTTGTTTTTGTTTTTTTTTTTGAATTGATTGATTGATGAGAGCTGTTTTCAATGCTGGAAATCCGAATATATTCCGATCGGGGAAGGGAGAATTAATGTATGACACATTGCTATTGGGAGATCTGGTCCGAGATAAGATCGGGGGAGGGAAAGATAAAATAATCACATCATTTTGTTTTGGAATTGGTGAAAGTGTTGTTGTTTGTTTGTTGTAATGCATGGATTCGTGAGTAGTAGGTTTTTTGAGGTTATGCTTTCTGTTTACTGATGCATGGAGGATGATCTTGTTCTGCAGCGAGTGGTAGTGAAGCGTGTTGTTCGACGCAGCTTATTGACGGAGATGGTGCGTTCAATGATGCTGGAATTGAACATTTCATAAAGGAGGTTAAACTCGCAGAATGCGGACTGTCATACGCTGTAGTCTCCATCATGGGACCGCAGAGTAGCGGTATGCATCTATCTCTTAGTTAGAATGCTATTTGTAGTGTTGCTTTTATTGGACAGAAGGCTGTGGTTATATGAGATGTGTTTGATTTAAATATTTTGCATGAGAAAAGCATGGCTTTTGTGAAATGAGCACTAAAATTTGATTAGAACTTTGTTTGAAACAAGTAAATGTGCGATGATTTTAGGCGAAGTAATTGGTCTCATGTCCATTATAGTTGTTATAGACGAATTTTGTCAGTTTTATAGCTTGATACATCTCTTTGTCAAATTGTTGTTACCTCATTAGTTTCTTTGGTTGGGTTTCTGGTGCTGTTTGTCATTTTTAGTTTTATTGTATGTCAATTGTGGTGTTTTTAACATTGTTTTCTCCATTATTGTGACAGGTAAAAGCACGTTATTAAATCATTTGTTTGGTACCAATTTCAGGGAAATGGATGCCTTTAAAGGAAGGTGTTTGCTTCTGAAGCTCTCATAATATATTACTGTTTTCTTTAATTTGCTCAACAACTGACCAGATTTTCTTCTTTTAAGGTCTCAAACCACAAAAGGTATTTGGATGGCAAAATGTGCTGGTATGGAGCCTTGCACTCTAGTAATGGACTTGGAGGGCACTGATGGAAGAGAACGTGGAGAGGTGATATTTCTAGCTTCGTTTCATCATATATATTGCCCAAAAATTTTTATCACATTCAATCATGTAATGTCTACCTTCTCACATTGGCTTCAAGAAGAAACATTTATATTATGAAATTCACATCACTCATATTTTGGTTTTTGTGCCACTGCTGTAAAATAAAACTCTTTGGTAATGGGATTCTGTTGCTTGCAATATTTCTTGTGATCAGTTGGTGAAGGGAAAGTTATTAGGTTCAATTTTATTTTATACCATGGAATTTCCACTTTTAGTTGTCACTTATGCAAAAGGTGATTTATTGAACATAAATTATACAAGATGATTTAGTTGATGTAAGTTATGCAACTCTCCTACCAAAAAAAGAAGAAAGAAGGAAAATAGATTATACAGGATTGCGAATGCATCAAAATTAATCATGCTCAAAGAAGACAGTCTGCAGCATTTCATTGAAAGAAATATGTAAAAAATCTCAGTTGTCTAACATGTTAGCAATGCATAAAAAGCCATAGAACTAGCAAAGCCATTAAGTTCTAAGAACATGGAAATGGATTATGAACTTGGTGACTAAGTCATGTAAGTTCTATAATGGGTGTTGGAGAGATGCTTTCTGACTCATATTTTTGGCCCAATTCCAGGATGACACAGCTTTTGAGAAGCAAAGTTCCCTTTTTGCACTGGCAGTTTCAGATATAGTGCTAATAAACATGTAAGGTTTCCTATTTCATGAACAAGGTGCATCATTAGGATTTTTGACATTTAGTTTGATTTATAACAATTCTATGAAATAACTGTGTTGTAGTTTGTGTGAGTAATGTTCTTGGATGTCTTTTATTTAGGTGGTGTCATGATATTGGTCGGGAGCAAGCTGCAAATAAGCCTCTTTTGAAGACTGTATTCCAGGTGCTCATTGTCTCCAATGTTTTTAGAAATTATCCCAAATTCCAAAAGCTTATATTATTGTTGTTTGGTTGCAGGTCATGATGCGATTGTTTAGTCCACGTAAAACAACTTTGATGTTTGTCATACGTGATAAAACAAGGGTGGGTCCAGTTCTTTGCTGCTCTAGATTATTTTACAGTCAAAGAGATAAAATTTTTGTTCCCATTTTTATTTTGTAAATTTCTGGTTGTCCTAGTTTTTTAGGCCTTTTGGATTCCTTTTTTTTTTTTTTTTTTTTTTTTTTTAAGAAAGAAATCATCGTCAATTACATTTTGCACATTCTATTGGGCAATAAGAAATTGACTTGAGGGCAATAAGAAATTGACTTAAAGGCAATAAGGTGTTTTTGTGATATTTCTCATTCAATTCTTACCCGTAGTGTTTCTTTAACTACCTTTCAAAAAAAAATTAAGACATCTTATATGTTTGATTTCTTTGATATTTC